TTTTTTTTTTTTTTTTTTTTTACAGAAATGCGATTATAGATTAACGGAAGGAGGTGACGAATATTTGCAATTGTTGAATGTGTTTTCCTATATTGTAACGGCATATAAGCTGTAAGAGAAGACTCGTAAAGTTTGTTTTCATGTCAATGAAGTAAATATTTACGAGTATATATTTAAGTATATATTTATTTTTAATGTACATCATAAGTAAATATTTCTATATTTTTATACGTGTCTTGTTACATAGATGATTTATTCGTTTTTCATAAAATAATCTCATACAAACAAAAACTATTTCATGACAAGTTAATTTATTGGCCACTTTTTGATCCTAATGTGCCAAGCAATAAAACTTGTTTGGAAGCTTTTTGTTTTAGTTGTAGCGCTTGGTGATAAATAAACAGATGAGTCAGTCTGTAAAACTCACCTATACGTTTTTATGTATCCAATTCTACATATGTTAATTTTTTATCATGTATTTGAGAATAAAAGTAATGATGATTCCGCTGTGAACTTGACCGACACGTCACTCAAGATCTCTTTCTAGAAATGTTCTTAAAATTTGTTCTTGATTCAAGTAATTGTTCAAGTGAATAGCCTACTTTACATCGTACATCTTTTTAGTACGCGAATTAAATAAACAATTAATAAAGAATCTTAGGCTCTGAGATTTCTAAACGCGAAATATATAAACGGTAACAAGAACCGTACGCTGGATGTTACGGAAATATGCGTATATATATACATATTCAGGGTGATTTATTTTAATCGCTTCAGGCAGATGTTGAAGCTAAGAGAAATAGAAAAAAACTTTCAAATAAAAGTTGTAATGTGGTGAGAGGGAAATACGATGGTCTTAATGAATTTTGTGTAGAGGCTATTTCCAAGGTCACGTCAAAGTCATCTTAAAATTTTTAAAAGAAAGTCCCTATTTTGTATTGCATATTCATGTAGTTAAGGCATTTTTAGAACACTGATTACAACCTTATTTTTAGTTGAGAACGTTTTGAGTTATGAGTTTTCAAATTTTTGTAACAGTACCGCCAGCAGGAATGGGATAAAAGATGCTGTAAGATTTTCAATAAATTTTAATGAGAAAATACACCAATGATTTTATTTTCAACGTAAAGTTTGACAATTCAATCTCGACCTTCATAGCCGATCACGCGTATCTCACGCCGATGCTTGATGTTTTTTCACACACAACAGCTGTTTACCCGACCTTGAGTGCGACCGCTCACTTGGAATAGGAAAGTTTGAATCTCGGAACAAATCAAACCAGTCTTCAATGGGTGCTTTCCATAGAGCTTATACCACGAAGTAAGAGTAAGGAGATCGAACTTCGTGATATAAAAGTGGTCCCGATTCTGACGCCTAATTGGGAGGGAATCCGCTCAAGGGAATAGTTTCTTACGGTTGGACGCCATTTGCAATTAGTAACGTAACCTAACTTTATCTGTCAGTTTTGTTTCTTTACAAATTATGGCATGCTGGATACGTGGATGCGAGACCAAAGGAGGGAAACATGTTTCCAGAAAAAGAAGTCTTTTTACACCTAGGACAGTGAGTATGCGTTAAGTAGGTATTAGTGAGATTAGTAGAGGATTATTTCTAAAATAAAAAGATGCATTTATATAT